CCTATCTAAGAGCGATCAATGGAAAATGTCGGAAGGAATATTATCTTAGCGTTTGGATCAATACTTGATAGCCAATTTATTTAGTCATCGGCTCTAATAGCCGGTACCAGGAGGGTATCGCCTCTAGCTCAAAATTATCCCAAGAAGGGGAAAAGTCGATACGAAATGTATCACCTATAGAGCAAAAACAAACACAGAGACAATCATGGTGTATATAAAGACATCATAGAAAGTACATTGAGATATGATCATAGAAAAATAGAAGATTTTATTCATTGATCAAGTTTGCCCTAAATACAAACTAATCAAAGACTTTGTTTATCACATCCTGAGCGGATGTGATGTCCACGATGGCCTCCGCCGCATCAATGAAGCCCTCAATCAACTCCTCGTGCTCCTTAGGGCCGTCGCCCATCGGGAAACCAGACTCCATGGTATGGAAGTCGTACCCGGTCTAGACCTATGTCATGACCAGCGCCACCTATGCGCCACGACGAACGCCATGGAGGGCGACCTCCTGAACATGGGCCAGGACATCGTGGAGGCAGGCATTGATGAGGGGGCCCCGTGCATTGACGGCCGCCATAGCCACGTTCATCGCCAGTCGGAGGGACTCCAACTGCACTATCAGGGCTGGCGATCACAGAAACAAAAGAGCCATCAAGATAAAGACAGTGGACATTAAAATGAAGGTGTTCTTGGAGTCCATCTTACCCGCCACCATGGCGTCGGACTCGGCCAGCCATGCCCGAGCAGCGCCGGCCTCTTCCTCGGTGGCGTGAAGGGTGGCTTGAGAGGCCCCAAGGCGGATCTCAAGCTAGCCATTTTCCCAAGTTGCCTTGGAATAATGGTCCAGGGCTGCCCTCCACTCCTGGAGGAAACGTTGGGCGGCGTCACCATTGTAAGAGTCGGAGGAGTCCAACGACGAATCTGGTGCAGAGTATGCAGCATCGGAGAGCTCGCCGGCCCTAAGAGGAAGCGAACGAAGGCTGTCATTCAAGACGAACCTATAAACAAGTTAGATAAGTTCATTGCCTTAAGCAAAAGATGTCGATCTCACCTCATACAGCGAAGGCGCTGGCTCATCGGTAGGTTCTCCTTCGGAACCTCCTCTACCACACGCTTGCCCCGGTTGTGCTCGCCGGCCATAAGATTTGATTGGATCTATGCAAAAAGGGAAGAAAACCGCTATAGAGTTTGCGAGGGCGGAGAAGTGCAAAGGAATAGGAGCAGTTGCAAGTATAGATGTGTTTGAGGCCAGAGCCCTCGACTGATATTTATAGCCACGAAGCGAGGTGGTAGATATCTCGGGACATGCAAAAGGCAACCGCAATTAATAGAAGGCGAAACGCCACTTCACTAATGCTGAAGAGAATGCGGCGTCGATAATCGAGGACAGAAGATTGAGGGGTTTTCTTAATAAAGGCCATGTTTTTGGACTTAATCGGATTAAGGTTAGAAGTATGGAATCAGCTATTTTCAAATCGGCTCTTTAGCCGAGACAAGAAATACAATAAGGCGACATAAAATATGGTTATCACTGGTTCTACACAAAATACATGTTGATATGCAGATTACAAGTTTAGAACATCCTGGAGTGCTTTCAATGCTTCTAGTCGGATAGCATCGACTTCTATGATCTGTTCCTTGTCTTCTTCGGCTGATCTAGGAATATCCTCAAGGCTGCTGCAGATGGCCCTGCCTTCTCTGACTTTGGTCAGCAGTTCCTGTTTCTTCTGCTTAATGGCAATGGGTATTTGAGCTAGATTGGACTTATGGCGATCGATGGCAGCCTTCATGTTCTCTAGTTTCTTCTCAAGTTCTGTACGCTTGGTTTCTAGTTGGGTCAGCTCTGGATCGATCCTGAGGGAGGAGCTCTTCAAATTATCGATCAGCTGTGTCAGCTCTTTGGCCTCTTGTCTATTGGAGTTCTTCTTGGCCAATAAAGCTTCACGATTGGACAGGTTCCTCTAAGCCTTTTTCTCCTTCGGGGCTTGATCTTCGATGATGGATAAAGGTGACAAGACTTTGATGAGATCTGGGGATGAATTATCCTTAATGGCCAAGAAGACTCTTTGCATTGAATCCGCATCTTGGACCAAATCAGCTATATTCTTCTCAAGCATTGGTAATATATTCCTTAGCCGATTCTCTTCTAATAAAGCTTCTTTAGAAGAGGTGGCTGATGAGCTGATTTCATCTTTATCTAGATACTCTTTAAGATTGAAAGAGTAGCTTAGAGCTGGAAGATTAAGTACCTATATATAAGAAATTCTTTGTTAGAAGAATTGAATCAGTTGATAATAACATAAATGGTGAAGTAAATATGGTACCTTTTCTAGGATAGCTTCTATTTGAGAAGAAGGAACGACTGATGATGCACCAATAGTATCTGGCTGAATTAGCTCTAAACTTTCCACATTAGTATCTACAAACATCAAGGAAGATTTTTCAATTCATGCTTGTTGCCAAAGGATAAAATAGACATGACTTTTGTACCATGAATTGTTTGCTAGACTAGAAGTTCGACAGTCTAGGTGTCAACAACAGGATCATTTTCAATAGGTAGACTGTCAGACTCCTAATCTTGTGTAAACATTTCCTCGAGGAGTATCTAGCGTGATAAATGGTTAGAAAAGGGTAGAAATTGAATAAGAATTAAGAATTTTGAGGAGATACCTTGGCAATATCAGGGATTGAGGTGGAAGGGTTCTCATCTTCTGCAATCTTAGAAGCACCGGTTGGTTTCACCAAAATTGGCTCCTTTTGAGGATTGGCCAATGAAGGTTTAGTTGATGCTGAATTAAATGCATAGGACAATAGTTCCGCACCCAGAGCAGATTGGAATACAATGGTTGATAACTGTGAGGAAAGGGAGATCAGAAGTTGAATATCATTTTGAGGAAGGGATGAATTGTTTTACCTGGGCAGTTGATGGTCTCATTCTACGAAGTATTTTCCCATTAATAGTTTTCTAGGTTGTCCCTTGGGCTATCTTACATTTTGAGGATTGATACGTTACAATTGTAGAGGCAGCTTGAGTTTTCATCAGTTTCTTCAGTGAGGGTGTGGTTGATCCCATTCTTGAGGCCGAACATGGTGGCTGATAATCTATAGGATACCCCTTCCTATCCAAGCTTGGGGGATCAAATTCGATGTCCTAAAAAGGTTTATTAGAATAGTTGGCAGGGGAATTCATCGAATAATTTTTCTAAAAAAGGAATGGTAAGTTACCTCACTGTCGGAAGCAAACTCTTGATCCAAAGCTATGCATCTAGGATGGACTGACCCACAGAAGAGATGGGAGTGCCATTCTTGCCACCAGGAGTCAAAAAGGTTGGAAGAGAAGTTGACTCTTGTCCAGTCATGCAAGCAAAAGGAAGGAAGATCGGATCCTAGTTGAAAGACTCTGGAGGCTTCCATTACTTCATTGATACCCTCTCTTGGCTTCAAAGTATTCTTGAAGAACAGTTGATGAGGCAGTTGACCAAGACCAAACTAACGAGCTACAAAAGAAGTGTTGTAAAACTCATAGGTTGAGAGGTTGCCTAGAAGGAAGGAACCTGTAGACATTTTGCCACGGCCATAAAGAAATTCAGCTGGAAGAACGCAAGGTTTGATGAAGGAATTGAAGATTGCAGCAACTGTTTTGTCTGAGCAGCTTGATTCAAAATGAAATTTGAATGTGAAGACCAACTCATTGTTCTCATCCTCATCATAGGGTAGCCAAGTCAGAATATCTGCATCAAACCCTCTATAAAACTTCTTGAAGAGGTGGCAACATTGACAACGATTGTTATGGCCGATGCAACTTCACCATAGCTCATGCACTGATGGATTCTTCATTCTTCACCTCTATATTCCTCATCAAAGTTGGACAAGGGAAAGCTCAAATTCTAGAGATTTGGCTTTACAATCTTATGCATATACAAATTTAACCACATTTGTATTAACCACCAAGGGCCGTTGATGGTGTGCATTGCTTCATTCTTCAGCAGCTGAGTGGCCACCTGATGCATCAAATGGTAAGCCGATCCCAACAGATACTTTCAAGAGGAATCTCAATGCCTACTGCTAGATGCTCTACCATGAGTTTATGATTGTAAGTCAGACCGCAGGATGACCCATAGAAGATGAATCTTTCCAACCACATGTTCAGAAAAGCCACATACTCTCTTTCACTAACAGTTGGTCCATCTCCAATATGATTTAGAATGTAGCTTGCCCATCCTGTGCAGTCTGATATTTTGGCTAATTTTTTGGATCCAGCACTTAAGAAGTTATAAGGTTGTATTGATCCTGTTATTCTAAGGTCGGTCAACATATAAACATCGGCCAAAGTGATAGTTATTGGGCCGTGACAAAAAACGAAGGCATTTAGGGTGTTAGACCAGAAATAAGATGCAGAAATCAGGAGTGAATCATTCCTCTTCATTCCGGACAACGAGAGTGTCAAGCATTGATTCAAATCATGAATCTCAAAATCTCCGGCCTTTTTTCCCGATACCCTACGAAATCAATCTCTCCATCCCCTAGGTATTTTGGGCCAGTTTCTAAAGGGAGTTTTGGTGTTCCAGGAGGACAAATCTACTATAGATTGTTTGAATGGTTATTTGGATTCTTGCCATTACAATTTCTCAAGTTTTGAAGAATGCCATTACTATTCGTCTTATTAGAAACTTGCCATTACTATTATGCTTTCCCCTCACCCTTGCCATTTTCTACATCTAGAGCGTATCTAGGCCCACCTGTAGGTGCCATATTTCCGTATGTGCCCATATTGCCCTTGTACGAGGTGGTGCAGCCGAGGGTCTTGACGCTAGGTAGCTTCCTGACGAGCCCATTCTTGGCAGCCATCTTCCTAGTCCCGAGCGCGAGGCAGGTGGTGATGACGGCGGGCAGGCCCTTAGGTATGGCAGCGACGGCGAGCGCGGCGGTGATCTCAAAGTAGTAGGTGCACTTCTCGAAGGAGAAGCTGACGTTCCTGGGCACCCATCCCCCTAGAGGTCGAAGGTGAGGAAGGACTTGACGTTGATGAGCCAGATGAGCGCGTAGATGAGGCCGATGATCTTGGTGAGTGCCTCCCCAAACTCGTTGAGCTTCTTCTTGAGCGGCGTGTCATCGTCCTCCTGCGACGCCTGGTGGATCTGCGTGTGGATGGCACCAATCTCCGTGGCCATCCTAGTGCACGCGACGATGCGGAGCGCCGCACCGTTGACGACGGTGGTGCCAACAAACACCATGCACTCCTTAGCCTGTATATCGACGTCCTCCACCGACAATGCATGGGAGGTCATGTTGACGGATGTCGTCTCCCCGGTCAGCGACCCTTGCTCGAGGCGGAGCGTGGAGGTGAGCAGGCTTGCGACGCGCATGTCGGCGGGCACCTTATCCCCGATGTGGAGCTACACGACATCGCCCAGGATGAGGTCCCACGCGGGCAGCATGGGGACCCAGCCGCCATCATGAAGGACCATGGCGTGGTGGGACTGGATCTCCCGCAGCACGTCCAGCGCTCGCTCTGCGTTGGCCTCCTGCCACACCTTGACGGCCGCGTTCACGATGAGGATGAGGAAGATGACGAGCGGCTCAACGAAGGCAGTGAGCGTTGGGGCGGGGCCTGAGGAGGCAGAGGAGGAGAGCACGAGGAGGAAGGAGATGGCGGTGGCCACAAGCAGGATGCGCACCAACATGTCCTCGAACTGGTCCAGCAGCAGCCGCAGCAGCGATGGCCCCGGGTGCTCCACCAGCTCGTTTTCCCTGTGGACGCGTAGCCGCACCGCACCCTCGGCGGAGCAGAGGCCGCAGGTGATGGAGACCCCAGCCGCTCCTTGCAGTCCGACACCGACCACACCCACGCGGGGAACGCGGATAGGTCATCCGCGTCGCCGGTGGCGGCGGTAGGCACCGAAGCGGTAGCGGTGGAGGAGTCGGGTGGTTGGTTCATTGGCATGCGGTGCGGAGAGCCGAAGATTGGAGCGCGCCGCAACAAACCAAGCCAACGAAGCAGGGGATGACAATGCCCACGCTGGGGACAGACGGATGAAGCAGAGTGCAGGCACGGGCGATGGAGTTGTGGGAATCCGGGCGGCGGCATGCGCCGCGGCACTGGCAGCGGGCGGCGGCAGCAGCGGACACGGCACTGGCAATGGACTGGTCAGCCTTATCCTCTCGTACAGGGATAATACGGGCACATATAGAAATATGGCACCTTCAGGTGGGCCTAGCTACGCTCCAGATGTAGAAAAGGGCAAGTGTGAGGGGAAAGCAGAATAGTAATGGCAAGTTTCCAATAAGACGAATAGTAATGGTATTATTCAAAACTTGAGAAATTGTAATGGCAAGAATCCAAATAACCCTTGTTTGAAGGGGATTCGGTTGGTTTCTTGACAGATAAAGTCAGAGGGATCAGGGTCACCCATAGGCCCAAGAAAATAGACATGGGGAGCAACAGCCGATGTAATCAAAATTTCGTTCCTCATTTCCTAGAGACAAGATAAAATAAATTTGAGAAGAAAGAAAATTATAGGGTAACGGCTGATACTTAAAAAACTGAAACTTGGAAGCATACCTTAGGGACGTGGTTGCTAGTCGCCATTGCAGCCAGAATAGATCTGAATCTGGGGAAGGTTGCTTGAATAACAGCTTGATGAAGCAGAGGATTTGCTAGGGTTGAGACCTTGACGATGGCGGCTTTGGTTGTTGAGGCTCGCTCGAAGAAGGGGAAAGTAGATGAGCCAAATGAATAAAAAATGATACTATTGGGGTATTATATAAAATTCGGACTGAGAATATCAAGAGTCACGCGTATATCTCGTAATAAACGATTACGACATGGTGAACAGGTAAATAGAAATTTTGGAATAAAATCATTTTTATCCCAAATTGGGGGCATGTGTTTACACCAAAATTTAGGAAGAAGAATGTGGGAACTTGAAGCTTCCAAGATTATGTCATCAAGGAATCGATTGCATAAGGATCAATATCAGCTGGTTCAGGTGCGGTACTAGGATCAGCTATCTTCGAATGACATCATCAGATAACGCCAATGAGCTACGGTTGGTATCGGAAAGACATGTCAGACTCTACCAAAAGGGAAAGATTAAGGTTCAAGTTATCTTAAGTTAGGAATGTTTTTTTTATACCAAAGATTGTAATGAGTCGTACTTGGGTAGGATTCATGCTTAGGTTCCGGATATAAATATTGGACCCCGGCTATTGTAAAAAGAGATCCAATCAATCAATACAAATTACTTTTTTTTGGCTTCACACCAACCCTTAGGAGTAGGAGTAGTGTAGATCTCAGCGAGTTCTTCAACAAGCAGGGCTGTATCGGTCCGGTCACCTCTGGCTTGTCTGTAAGTACCATCATGGCTTATACTTCTGTTTATAAGGCTACATTGGTTAAGTTTGACCTCCACTGCGAGCTTTAGTATAAGCTAGTTATTGATTCTTATCTAGTTCAAGTACAGCTGCATCAGTTAAGTTCGACCTCCACTGCTCAAATTAGATTAAGGTCAAGTTATCGTCTCTACCTAAGGTGGCATCCTTCAGGTAGATTCATTAAGTTACCAATTTTGCTGATGTTCTTATTGTCATCACTTTCAGCAATATCAACTTGCCCGATCGAGATCGATCTAGATCGGCCTCACATCCTTTTAGTTCATTGTTTATTTTGTTACATTGCGACGGTTCTCACTTTAAACAATAGATTATGTTTTATCGGTTGTTCTACTTCGATCTCGATCATGCATAGTACACGGTTAAGGGATGTCTGATCTTGAGAAGGTTTACTAGCTAGTTGAATTTGGTCTATAGCTCACTATTATGGATGTATCAATCCGGTCGCCCCCAACGTTAGTACTTTAGATCGGAGGATGGTAGCTGGTAGATTTGCTTTCGACCAGGCATGACCTTGGCTGTTTGCTATGCCTGCATCGGGTAAATAGCCGATCGCCTACACTTTAAGGCTCATTGTATGTTTTCGTGATTCTGTTAAATGTGAATAGATCTATTTTCTTTAAAGGTTTAATCTGTAATCTTTATTATGGCTGCCATTGATCCGGTCGAACCCCACTATTAAAGATAATAGGTTAGATTTGAGGAGTTTATAGGCCTACTCGTATTGAATAGTCTATTGTTCACATGCTATGATCCTTTTTTACCCGAATCGGCTCACCTGTGCTTTCACAGATATGACATGCTTTCATGAACCTATTGAAGTATAGTCGGTTCTATGGGCTTTCTAGTTCTAGACTATCATCATCATCATAGCTGCATCGATCCGGTCGAACCTCACTATTGATGGTAATGGATTAGATCTGGATGGTTCGTAGGTCTGTATGTATCAAACAGTCGATTGTATACATGGTATATCCCTTTTTACCGAATTCATTGGCTCTACACTACATATTGACCAAATCTGATTTAGCTAGTGATGTATCTCTGATGTATACATGTTAATAACTTAAGGGAAAGAATCATTAAAACTGGGCGCATCGCAGTCGTCATTATAAAATCAATCACAACCCGCGAGTGTTACAGTCCTTAACAACCGATTTCTTCTCATATCGGCTATTTAGTCGATTTTCCCGTCTGACTGCTCCCAAAGCGGCACACTTGGAACTGTCTAAGCAAAACTGGCATGTTCCACCTTAAATTATTGATAAACTTTCTCTCCTTATCAATTGCAGGTCAAATTGACTGGCACACTCTCGGGAGGAATTCGCAGGGTTGACTGGTCCTGCGTTGAAGCCAAGCGGATCTCCATGCTCATCCTAAGTAGATCCTTCCGGCTTACTGTGTACTTGACGCATTGACACATTTTTGCGCCGACAGGCCTAGTGCTGAGTGGTAGGGTGGCACCATACCGGTTGGGAGGCAATCGGTATCAGCCTAGGCGGGGCACCACTGATGATGGTGATCTTGTGGTTCCAGGTGTACATGCTCTGCATAGTTGATCGATCTATACGTATAGCCGAGTCCTCGGATATGGACATTCCTATGACCTACGCTTCCCTTGATTAGTGAGAGATGACCTTTCTTCTTCTTCCCCTAGGTTTGGTGTTGGTTTCCGTCTTTGGCCATTGAGGCAAGGCACGAGAGGGAGTCGTCCTTGCCGCCTAGAGAGTGAGAGTGTGGTGAGATGTGTGTGGTGGGATGGGTTAAATCTTGTTGAACTATTATAAAATATTGATGAACTTGCATAGGAAAACTACAGCCATAAATAGGTCTTTTGTTCTACCCTTGCATTCCACTTACCACAAAGCAAACGCAAAGCATAGGGTGAGAGCCAGTGGCCAGTGCAAATCATACTGAAAGATATTTGGCAGGTTCGGATGTCTTCTACGACAATTACAACGGAGATTAGAAGGATTAGGTGGTCTCATTCCTGCACTCAAGTTTGGTTGAGGAGATGAAGTCTACGCCCGCTGACATTCTACGCCGACTCTGATGATTGCCCATGGAGGAGCCTTCACCCGCTGACGCGCTACGTCGACTCTGATGAAGATCTGTGTGCGTTTCTGCTAGAATAACGATGTACATAGGTGTATTACCAAGTGTTGTAATGCCTTGTAATCTTGTAATTCCGTGATGTATGAACTGTGGTATCAACTGGATAATGATAATGTGATAGTTTGGTCTTCCTGGACTACCACATTATGATGTAATCTGTAGATTTCCCTTCAAGGAAATCGTGGATCATTTTAGAAACCTATGGGGTCCTGCTTCAAAACTAGGACAACGAGTATCCAAACCTCGGTGTAGACTACCTGCACGGTGGCGACGCTGCGGCTGCACAACCAAACCCAAGCCCGTCGTCAGGCAACCCATCAGACAAGGTGATCAGGTCTATGATTGGAGCTTGGGTGGCCGACACCCACGAACTCGCCGATGGCCGCATCCAGTGCCCTCCGAAATAGCTTGGTGGCTATGGTGGCCGCCGCGATGCTCAGACTGAAGAGGATGTTTCCTGAGAACTAGCTCGCTGACCTTGAAGCCAATGCCTTTGCTGCATTGCCTACCATGTTTAAGATTGTTGATGAGAGTGTCTGCTCATGTTATTGCTCTGGTGATCCAGCAATCCAGATGAGCACAAAGGTAGCATCAGATCGAGACAACTCTCTGGATAATCACTTGTACTACCCATTGTCGAACGACAGTGAGGAGGATGATGTGAAGCATTGCCACGAGCACTAGGTGAGAGGAGAAGCCGTGGTGGCTCGGGGTGTGCTCCAGAAAATGTTAGGCTTGAGTTGGGAGCCTCCAGAGTTGTGGTCTACATTAAATTTAAACAGTGATCACAGGCGGCCTTTAGAATTGAGGAATATTAAGGCCATAGACTGCCTTCATCTCTGTGAGGTTATGTAACCGCACTACTATCAATTAATAGTAAAGTGTGACGATACAAGGAACCTCAGTCGGTAACTCCGGCCGATCAACGAGATCGCCGAGCTCACCGCCGTCGTCGTCGCCTTCAAGCACTATTCAGAACCGAGTCTGGGTTTGAGTTCTCTTCCTCCTTTGATGCCTTTACAAGAGGGAGCCTCAGCGCTGCCTTTGATTGGGCCACGTAGGGCCTTTTCGCTCACTTAGCCCACTCAGGTCCAGTGAATCTAGGATTCAGCTTCCTAGGCCTTGCTGTAGCGCCTTGGCCCGCTTTAGCTGATGAAGACGTCTTTCCTCTTGTTGCCACCTTCTTCAGTTCCTGTCCGCCTTTAGATAAGCCGGCGCCTGGAGTTGTAGAGGAGGTACCGGTGGCCTTGGAAGTGCCGGCGGTGACACCCCCCCTTCCTTGAGAACCCGCTTGCCCCCAAGCTGGTACACTCGGGAACTATTGACGCAGAGGTTCCTCGTCCTCCCATGTCACGAGCGATGACGACAGATCGGACCAGCGAACAAGTACTTGAGGAACAGTTTGATCACAGTTGCGCTTGAGATGATGGTCGATGATAGCTTCTGGAACCTGCAACTCATGTTCAAAGTCAGGAAGCTCATGTACCTGTTCATTTTCTGGTACAGCTTTCTTCAGCATGGAGACATGAAAAACTGGATGAATATGACATTCTGGTGGCAACTGGAGACGATATGTAGAGGGACCAATGCGCTCTGTAATTGTGAAAGGCCCAAAGAATCTGAATGCCAATTTGTTGGAAGAGCGAGGAGCAAGTGACGTTTGAACATATGGTTGTGCCTTGAGATATACTGAATCCCCAACACAGAAGACTCTATCAGTTTTGTGCTTGTCAGCCTTGGTCTTCATTTTGGATTGAGCCCGAATAAGGTGTTGCCTGACAAGTTGCTAGAGTAATTCTCTGTCTTGCAGCCAAGCACTGAGTTCAGAGGACTAACAAGCTTGTGAAATATCAATGCCGAAGTGATGTGGCTCATATCCATATAATACCAAGAATGGGCTCTGAGCCAAGGAGTAGTGGAAAGAAGTATTATACCAGTGTTCTGCAAGTGATAGCCACTGAGACAATTTATTGGGGCAAGCATGTACAAAACAATGAAGGTATGTCTCCAAGCATTGGTTGACCCTCTCAGTTTGCCCATCAGTCTAGGGATGATATGCACTGCTCATCCTCAGGTCTATTCCCAAAAGCCTAAACAACTCTTGCCATACATTGCTAGTAAATACTTTGTCTCTGTTAGATATCATTGCTGTTGGCAGGCCATGAAGTTTGAAGACATTGTTCAAGAATGTAATGGCTACTTGCAAAGTAGTGAATGGGTGAGAGAGTGGCAAAAAATGAGCATATTTGGGGAATTTATCCACCACTACTAAGATGCAGTTGTAAGAAGATGACCTGGGTAAGCCTTCAATGAAATCCAGAGTAACCATTTTCCAAGCCCCTTCAGGAATTAGCAAAGGAGCCAATAAACCTGGGTATGCTACCCTTTCAGATTTGGCTTGTTGACAGGTGGTACATTGCTCCACAAATTTCTGTACCGAGTGTTTGAGTTTAGGCCATGCAAATATCTGCTTCACTTTCTTATATGTCACTTCAGAGCCAGAATGTCCCCCCAGGACTGCTATGCAAGGCAGAAAGGATTTTGTGCTATAATTGCTGACTGTTGCCAATCCATAGTCTGCCCTTGTATCTGATGAGACCATCTTGTAAGGAATAATGGTTGGATGGAGAAGATATTGCTAACTCAATAAGAAGTTTACTGCAGTGAGGGTCCTGCTCATATGCCTTCTGGATATCTTCCAACCACAATGGCTTGAGGACAGAAATAGCAGATATATCAAAGACTAGTGACTTTTGAAGTCTTGATAGAGCATCAGCTACCTTGTTGTCACTGCCCTTTTTATATATGATCTTGTAAGTCATGCCCATGAGTTTAGTGAGTGCCTTATGCTGCCAGGGTGTAGAAAGTTTCTGATCATCTAAATATGTCAGACTTTGTTGGCTAGTGAGTATGATGAAAGAAGATGTTTGCAGGTAGTGCCTCCAATGATCTATTGCCATCAATATTGCTAAACACTCCTTTTCATAAGTTGAAAGCCGTTGTGCCTTGACCCTTAAGGCCTTGCTAACATAAGCAATAGGGCGACCCTGTTGTTGAAGTACTGCTCCTATCCTAGTAGATGATGCATCTGTTTCAATTATAAAGGGCAACTCAAAGTTGGGCATGGCCAATACTGGAGCAGATATGAGTGCATGTTTGAGTGCTTGAAATGAAGCTTCAGTGGCAGATGTCCATATGAATATTGTTCCCTTCTTTTGAAGATTGGTGAGAGGTTTACTGATCATTCCAAATTGAGGTACAAATCACCTATAGTAACCTGCCATGCCTAGAAAGCTCCTTAGGTCCTTGACATTCTCAGGTCTAGGCCAATTTTTGATGGTGTTGATTTTTGTGGGATCTGTGGCAACACCATGTTCACTCACAATATGACCCAAATAGCTTAACTATCTTTGAGCAAAGGAACATTTAGCAAGCTTAACATGAAAGCCATGTTGTTGTAAAAGAGTGAGGACAGCCTTGATATGCTCCAAATGGTCAGTCCAGGTTTTACTATATATCAAGATATCATCAATAAAGACCATTGCACACTTCCTCAACAATGGATGTAGCACTGTATTCATAATGGTTTGAAATGTTGCAGGACCTCCAGTGACACCATAAGGCATTACCCTGTACTCTCTTGAATCCACCCTTTTTCCAACATATCTCTGATTTGAGTTTCTATTTCTGTCTTTTGAGTAGGATTGTATCTCTGTGGCCTAAGACAGAAAGGTTGAGCACCTTCCAGAAGAGGAATCTTGTGATCTCCCATTCTTTCAGGTGGGAGGTTTGTGGGTGGGGCAAAAACAGGTGCAAACTGTTGTAAGAGTTGCTGCAACTCTGTGGGCAATTTGTCCTCGACAGTATCTTCAGCTGGTGAAATAGATTGTAGCTCAACTACATATAAAATAGAGTCACTCTTGTCAAATGCTTGAAGTTGGAGTGAAGAGACAGGAGGACCCAGAGTAGGTTGCGATGTTAACCCTTTGCAATTTGATCACTTGTCCTTGATAGTGGAACTGCAACCACCTTTCAACCCAGTGATCTCCATAGGGCTATTAGATTCTAGCCAATCCATGCCTAATATAACATCATAGCCACTCAATGGAATGATTTTTAATGTGGTACTGAAAGAATGACCCTGCACTGCCCAAAGTTGATTAGACAACTCATGAGTGCAACTGATAACACCTCCATTAGCAACTGTTACCCTCACTGACTGTGGCAAAGCTTGCCAAGGTTTGATATGAGCAGCTATCTGATCATCCACAAAACTATGAGAACTACCAGAATCAATGAGCATGGACACCTCTTTGCCATTCAAGTGTCTCCTTAACCTGAAGGTATGAAATCCTTCAGTACCATTTACATCTTGTGCAGAAAGGGCCATGAGGTCATCCCCAGAATCTGAATCATCACCCAGTACTTGTGCTGTATTCTCTCCTTCAGCAGAAATCCAATTCCAGACTTCCTCAATTGAATGAAGTAAGACTTGGGCAGGACACTTGTGTTGTGCTCCCCATTTTCACCACACTTGAAACATAGTCCCTGGGCTCACCTGTATTTCTTCAGAGCTGCAAGCTTATCATCAGGTTTGACTCTTGGAGGATCAGGAGGTTTCTTGTCTTCACTAGCTTTTGCATTGTTGGTAGTAAAAGAAAATGAGTGTTTGACAGAATTAGATGAATTCTTCTTTGCATAATATTGGCCAGTATCCAACCGTCTTGAAGGTTGGTCTTCAGTGGTGTGTTCCTGCAAAAATGCCAATGCACTAGCAGTATCGAGGTCCTGGGGACGATGCATCATAACAACAGAACAAATTTCTTTCTTAAGACCATCGACAAAATGGTTAACAATGATAGAAGATGGGAATGATGGGTCGTGGACAAGGATTTGGTGGACTAAATCTCTGAATTGTTCAACATATTCAGAAACTGTGGAGCTCTGTTTGATGTGGAAAAAGTGATGAAGAAGGTGATTATGTTCATCCCTATCAAATCGGTTACAAGCAGCTGTGACAAAGGACTCCCAAGACATACTGGAGATGGTGGATTTCATAGTTTGAAACCATAGGGCAGCAGAACTAGTAAGACGCATAGTGGCTAAACGAACCCACAATGCTGGATCACTTTGACAGACATCAAAATATGTTTCACAACCGAGTGATCCACAAGCGAGGATTAGACCCATCAAATTTGTGGAATTCAACGTCAGGGAGAAGGTGTTGGGTAATTGGGGTGAGCTGGGTAAAAACGCCGATCATCGTGCACACAACCACCCAATTTGGACAGAATTGAGGAAGATTTTGGAGGGGGTGTCGCAACTGTGACCGGGGCCAGTTCCGAGGCGATGGTGTACACCGCCCCGAAAGCAGTGCCCCGGTGAGTAGTTCCCTTGCCGTGGTCTAACGACCCAGATGCCGCCCCTAGTGGGTGAAGCTCTAGATGGGCGGAGCTCAGCACCTTGATGCCCTGCGGGGTGAAGTGATCCTCGCGAAGCACATCGGTGAGGGAGGGCTGAGCGTCTTGCTGATCGTCGGTGGAGGCTTCTACGAGTTGAGCTTGTGGAAGATTTCCCAACGCCTTCTTGACGCACTCGCCGAGGTCCAGCACCGCGTGTTCTAGCTCATGGACACGGTTGTCGACATCGGGCTTCCAGGTGTGGATCTCCATATGCAGTGTATGCATCTCCGACATGGAGGTCTTCAATTCGTTGATGCCTTTCGAATTCTCACTGAGCAGCGCCAGGATCTGGCCCAGCTGTTGTTCGGGTGAAGCCATAGCCATGTTTCTTCGGGTGAGATATGGGTGGGTTGCTAGGATTCCTACCCCGACGCTGCTGCTGATCATACCAACCTCGGCGCGGACCTATGGATCCTTGCGATCGACGCTACGAGAGCGAATCACAAGGAGAGCCTGCCGTCGGGGATTACGGTGCCGGATCGAAGCAACAAGGAAGAAGGGAAAAATTGAGGCAAAAATTTGGGGAAAATTTGGTGGATCGAGGTGGTTCTGATACCAGATGTAACTGGACTACTATCGATTAACAATAAAGAGTGAAGATACAAGGAACCTCGGTCAGTAACTCCGACCGATCAACAAGATCGCCGAGCTCACCGCCGCCGCCGTCGCCTTCAGGCAAGGTTCAGAACCAAGTCCGGGTTCGAGTTCTCTTCCTCCTTCGATGCCGTTACAAGAGGGAGCCTCAGTGCTGCCTCCGATTGGGCCATGCAGGGCCTTTTGGCTCACTTAGCCCACTCAGGTCCAGTGAATCTGGGATTCGGCTTCCTGGGCCTTGCCATAGCGCCTTGGCCTGCTTCAGCTGATGAAGACGTCTTTCCTTCTGTTGCCGCCTTCTTCAGTTCTCGTCTGCCTTCAGATAAGCCGGTGCCTGGAGTTGTAGAGGAGGTACCGGTGGCCTTGGAAGCGCCGGACGTGACATGTTAGCTTTATACTCGATCAATCAATCTTCCGTGTTTTTTAATTATTATTGATTGATATATTTCTGCACAACAGAAAGGTAGCATATAAGTATTTCTTTATGTTTTATTAGATTGAACTACACAAAAATGATTTCTTTAGAGGGTATTATAAAGGCATGAGGCTTCCCAATCTATGGCGAAGGATGCTAAAGCTAAATGACTGGCCTCCGTTAGCAGATTTTGATGATCTTTTACCTGCTCATGGAGACAAGTATATAAACGCATTGCCTTTTCAACCTTACACGAATGCAAAATCTGGCTTCTTCAACATCTCTACCCTGCTTCCTGATGGGGTCATAAAGGTTGATCTTGGCCCCAAATCGTACATAGCTTATGGCTTCCCACAAGAGCTTGGCAGAGGGGATTCTGTCACAAAGCTTCACTGCGATTTGACTGACGCTGTAAGTGAGATGATCCAAATGATTATTCCAACAGCACACCGATGAGTTAGCTTCAATTAGTTTTGTTTTCTCTGCTAAATAAGCATTTTATTTGCCTTAATAAGTAGTGAGTCTAACACTTATAACTTCAACCTGGTTTCGCCTGTATGTTCCAATAATGTTTTTTCTATGCAATGCAGGTCAATGTTCTTGTGCACACCGCAAAGGTTCCCCCCTCTAATAAGGAGCAAGAAAATGCAGTTGCAGAGCTCAAAAGAAAACATAGGGCACAAAGTCGGAAGGAATTGGCAAATGGCGATGGTGACTGTTACGTGGCTGCTAGAATTGGGAGGGAGAGGCGGCGACGGGCGAGCTACAGTACCTGTGGCGCTACAGTAAAGCGGGTACTGTTCACAACGGGCTGCGAGAGAGGCTGGCTGGGGGGCCTTGCCCACGGCCGAGCAAGAGGGAAGGGATTTCCTTCTTAATTCTTGCTTGATTAGATCGATACATCTCCTCTCCTTATATAGAGAGGTTTACTTGACTCCTAAGCAATGCTTACTTGACCCTTAAGTAAGCGACCCTTATCTCTAATTAACCCTAATACTAATGGGCTATACAGCCAACCCAGGCCCAATAGGCCCCTGACGTACTCTAACAGTGACGGTGACACAAAAGATAATAAGACATCACCTGAATATCTGGAGGATGAGGAAGGTGCTCTTTGGGACATATTTAGAAGGGAAGGTGTCCCAAAATTAAAATGATATCTCATTAAGCACTCCAAGGAGTTCCGCCATACACATTGCTCCCAAGTAAAAAGGGTCGGTCTAGCTATATATGTTTACTATAAGATCAATGCATGATATTTTTTTGTTCTTCTGACATGACATGCATATATAATGTAGGTGTATAATCTGATGCATGATGGAACTTTTTATTTGACAAGAGAGCACATAAAGAAGCTGAAAGAGGAATTCGGTGAGTTACATTAGCTGTAAGTCAATGCAATGCATCCTTGAAAATACATCATGTTATTTGGAAATTGATATTATTTTCAGGAGTAGAGCCTTGGACCCTAGTACAAAAGCTTGGGGAAGCTGTTTTAAATTCTCCACTGTGGATTATGGTAGTAATTTTGTAGCTGTATTCAGTCCACAAAAGTTGATTGCAGCCCTCTGGTAAACTTTTACAGTCATGCACAAAGATTGCTCTAGACTTTGTTTCACTAGAGAGTGTTAGAGAATGTCTGCGCTTGATTGAAGACTTCCGCATGCTACCTAAAGCACACTGGGCAAAGAAAGATATATTAGAGGTAAGAAATCCATTTGATCATTCTTTATTGATTAAATTATTCTTTCTGCAAGATTGATTTACCAGATAAAGGGTGGTGAAACAATTATGCTATGAGTTCAGGAATTTAATACATCCAAGTTTTACAATTTACTGTCGCTTTACTATGGCAACTTTTGATCACTAGGGGTCCTTCATGGAACTCTTGCTCCATCACCTTGCTATACACTAGGCAAGGGTAGGCGTGTTTAATTTGTTCCAAAATGTTGCTTGCCAACGCAGGCTGGCTCTCCTGCATGATTGCACGCCCACACTAGTTTTTGCTCTCATTGCCCTCCCCTCAAGTCTCGCTCTAGCATCTAGTAACACAATCAAGTGATGGAGGTGGAGTCGTTGTTGGCCTGGGGCGGAGGTGGAGGAGTTCAATTCTACCATGGGAAAATCTCACTGACGAAGGTGGGATACTTGGTTGAGTCAACCACACCTCGTTGCACTAATTCTAAAAGAGTGAATCAATATACAATGAATTAATCACGACCTGGTGGAGTACCTACAATGGAGTCGTTATCGAAAAAACCTACAATAGAGTGGATGCCAATATGTGGTAATGGAGCCAAGGCAAATTTCGAAAGAAAGTCAAAGTTGGATGAAGGGGTGGAGTTTGATTCGATTAAAGGAAAGGAGGATTCGTCAAACATGACGTGACGAGAGATGATGACCTTATTAGAAGTGAGGTCTAAGCAATGATAGCCTTTGGGGCCTAGAGAATAACCAAGAAACACATCGAGAGCCAACCCAGGGGAGAGTTTGTGAGAAGTGGTGGCAGAGAAGTTTAGGTAGCACTTACACCCAAAGATATGTAGGTGAGAGTAGGTGGGAGAAATGCCATGTAGTGCGAAGTATAGGGTGTGGAAAATGTGAGACTTTTGTTGCTTGGCGGTTTAGGAGGTATATGGCTATGTGAAGTGCTTCAATCCAATATGATGGAGGGAGGGATGCGTGAAAGAGGAGGGTGCGAACAATGTCATCTACGACGAAAGGGAAAACTACTGAAATCTCATCTCCAACAATGTGGATAGAATAAATCTTAACTAGGCAATTCTCAACCCTAACATTGGCATTGTGTCGTATAGACATTATTACTAAATGGAACAATAAATGTGTCCAACCTAGGGCCAACCATATCTAAATAAGAATGGAAATCTATAATCCTTCCGTAGGGCATGTATTAATATTTACTGGGGTAACTTCTTCATAGAAATAATGAGTGGTAATAAACATCACAATATATAAGCTGCCTAACTCATTCCTCTCTTTAGTGACTTGGTGGTACACTCAAGGCTTTTGAAGCTTTCCTTCATTCTAATTCATTGTCAAAACTATTAAAACCAAAACCGTCAATCCCAAAGCATGACCATAGCATCATGCTATAGATCCATATATACTTTAGTTGCATCTTCAAAACAATTAATTTATGAAATCCTTACATGGGAGTAGTAATAAACATGATATATTGATTAAGGTAACATGATTTGTTGATACTTATGTTCAGAATTGAAAGGGTATATTTTGACGATAACATGTGTATGCTCATTTTTTCACAAGCTTAACATGTGTTTTTCCAATATCAATGAAAATGTTTTACGTTATTCTAAGTTTTTACACATTTTGTGTGAAATGATTTGATCTAAAAGGGTAAGTAAATATGTATTAACAAGCAAAATAAAAGCTAAAATGGAAACACATATGCATGCCTCACAAATAGGTTTGATGTGACAAGCAGACCATCTAAAATGACTAAAGGCATCTAAAATGACTAAAGGTATGTCAGTAGTCCTAGTAATTCACATTATATGTCTAGGGTATTTCAAAACAAAGATGTTAAAAGTGCCAACAATAGACCCCTCCCTTCCCATTCCTCGCCATCTTGTCATGAATTGAATGAGAGGGACATGTGTCGCCCTACTTGTGACACAGGTGGCATTGGTTCTATTGTGGTCCCTTTCAGGCCATTTATTTCAAATTCTTTCCACATATATCTTCATGTCAATGGCATGTGGCACCCTCTTGTCAACCTCAACAGCTAGCAACATTACATCGATCCGTTAGCTTCATCATCCTATGCAACATCCAAAGAATCTTACCTCCTCATTGCTATTTCCAATGCAGTCCATGGCATTGTCATCTCAATGGTGGCCGAGGAAACCTCCTTGTGTAGAAAAAGGGTGCCATTCTACAGCTCTGATTGCATTGGGGGCTACACTAGATCTACCCATGGGGGAGGTGAGCTATGTCCTTGGGTTGAGCAGTCATTGCACCGATGTAGGTGAAGGAGTAGGAGGTGCTCCACGTGCTTGGTCAGGATAGTAGACTATCCATGCACTAGAATGGCTCACCTCAGAGGTGCTAACACAATAGTGCTTGTTTGTGCCCTAGAGTCTACTTCCTCTCTCGCTTGCATCGCTGGTGTCGAATTTGGGGGAGGAATGCTAGGGATATGCGGTATTGCTTGTGTGAAACTGCCTCTATGCTAGCCATGCATGTCTTTGCGCTTGCCATGATACTACCTTCGATCTCTTGCATCAACACTACTAGTGATAGAGTCACCAATGCTTCCATAGTCCACACCAAC